TTAAAAAAAAAAAAAAAAAAAAAAACCCTTAATGATTGTATTCTTTTCGTAATTTACAGTTTTTGTTCATTTGTTATTTTTCTATCTTTTTTATATGATGAATTTTTTAGTATTCGGTATCTTGATCGTTGATCAAGAAGTATTGAGAGGGTCATAGATTAAACGTGGGACTTGTAGCTATATGAGGACGAGGGATTGATTACTATTTATTATTAATATTTTTAACAAATCGATGCCTCTGTACCTTGTGGTTTCAACTCTGAATCTATTGTGTCTTGCAGATTCGAGCACAGCTTAATTGAGAGCAAATATCTTATTTGCTGGTTGGTTACCTGTGTTCTACTCCGGACAGCCAAGTTTCATGTCTGAATTCAACGTGCAGATTCCATCTGCTTTTGGTAACTTGTCAAGTCCCTAATCGATTTCGTAACTTGTGTTGCAGTAGAAGCCTATATATTTGTTTCAAAATTAATCAATATTTTGGTGGTTAGACCCATTTGCTGATGCAAATGCTGAGGACTCGGGAGCTGGGGCTAAAGAGTACGTTCATGTGCGCATACAGCAACGTAACGGGAGAAAAAGCCTGACAACTGTCCAAGGATTGAAGAAGGAGTTTAGTTATAACAAGATACTCAAGGATCTGAAGAAGGAATTCTGCTGTAATGGCACAGTTGTGCAAGATCCTGAGCTAGGACAGGTCAGTTCTCTCACCCTAAATGAATAGCATTGAGGCCCTCCTTTTTTTCATTGTTGATGCACTTATCATTTGTTCGAAAACTATTTTACCGGTGGTGATATGCAATTTAGCTGTTGTTTTCTGTGTAAAGCAGCTGGTCGATTGTGTATTTATGTTTGATTAGGGTATTATTAACAAGAACCCAGAGGGTTTTATCGGGTTATTTGCAATTTGAGAGAATCATACAATGCCACAATTAATATCATCGATTGTTGTAATTGGCTCCAGGTTATACAACTTCAGGGAGACCAAAGAAAGAATGTGTCCACCTTCCTTGTGCAGGTAAGTAACCAAGGTCTATACGTAGTTTGTGTCAATGGTTTATGTTTTCGGCAGCAGTTTTCGATATGATCACCGTTTTTCTGGATCAATAGGCTGGCATTGTGAAGAAGGAGAACATCAAGATTCACGGTTTCTGAAGATCATCAGCAGGATCGAATTCAATTGCTATTTACAGCAGCTTAACTAGTGGACATTATATAGCTTTTCTTTTAGAATTTGAAGAGTGCGCGTTACAACTCTTGGTCCATGTATGTTTTCTTTGCTTCATTATGCACTTGTTATGGATCATCGGACCCTTTTAATTAATGATACGCTTCCTGCTTTCTCAACCCGATTGCGACATTTAACCCATAGGTTGGATGATGGAACAGGCACTAGATACGAGATTGCTGAGCATCACTCATCCATTGAACTGCATTTTCCCTTTACAACGAATAACTAGGCAACACAAAGAAAAGAGTCACTGAGTAAAGGGGAGGTTGTAAATAGAGATTCGGCCATAACTTATTCCTTTGCTTTCTATTTTTTTTTGCGGTGTCCCTCTCAAAGCGATATGAGGGAGCATCCCTTGAGGTATCCATAAGGAATGTGGGTTCTCCACTGTTGGCGTTGTAGTACTTTTGGCTTTCTTGGAGTCTTTTTCCAGACCAGAGCTAGGCCGTCGCCAATCTTACTTCAGTTGGAGGACTTGTCATGGTTCGTCAACAAAAATAAATAAATAAATGGAGTGTTAAATATTAAAATTTGTATGTTATCTTTACTTTTAAATGTTCATTATCCAATTTACAAGCTAAGGTTGATTGGAAAAAATTGTAAATAGAGATAATAAAAAAAATTAAATTTTATTTTGTTGTTATCACAATTGAATTTTGGAAATGTTCTTTAAGAATGAAAAATAAAAAATAGTAATAGTTACCCGATTCTATCTTGATGTTCCCGTTACCAAATTAAGTCATGCTAGCAGTAGCGTGTTTTTTACAATATGCAAAGGAGTGATTACAACTTAAATTCTGATATAATCTTTTGGTTGAAAGGTAGGTTGATTTGTTAAAGAAAACATGTGATGATGGGATAATATAAATGCATACAATAACTTTGTTTTAGAATGCAACCAATAATTATGAATACATTTCTATCACACTTTTAGGGTATATTAATAAACAATTCATAAAGTTGGATTTTATATGTTTTTTTTTTTTTTTTTTTTTTGTTCTATAAGATAATAATTGTTTTTAATGAATAAAAGATAATAGAATTAATAAAAGAAGTAAATATTAATCAGAGTGAAAATATTTCCTTCTCCTTTTCTCCATCTCATCTTTTTCTCCTTTTAATATCTTAAATAGATATTGATATTAAGTTGTTTTTAGATGCTGTAATTAATATATGAATTATTTTAATGTTTTATGAATTTTTATAAAAGATATAAAAAATATAAAATTAATCTATATTCAATCTCTTCCCACATTTGCCGAATTTTCTTTTATTAAGAAAAGTAATACAATTGATCGAAAACTGAGCAGTCTGTGACGGAGCTCGATTTTTATTCAAAACTGATGCCATGCCGACAACGAGCACACTCCATAAAGACCAACAATGTTCTGGCGTTGACTATTTGGTCTAATGGGATTCGGTGGGCCCCTTAAAAGGAAGCGTTAAAGTGTGAGTGAGAGTAGACAATTATCCCTCTCTTCACGGGAACGGATGGTCCTAAACTCCGTTCCACGCAATAATCCAGGTAAGATTAAAAGAAGCCGAGTGACGTCGTTTTGGTGAGACATCCATAAGCCGTCAGATAAACTAGAATCTCTCATCTCCACCGTCAAAAAATAAATAGAAGAAAATCCGAAACCGACTATTATACTTGGAGGTTTGCGTGGCTTCTAATTTCCCTCTCCCGCGTATAACAACTTCATTTTGACTGGTTGGCCTTATTTTCACGTCTCTTCCTCTCCCAATTCACACATTTTTCTCCCGGTAAATCCTCGTTTATCGCTCTCTCTTTCCTTCTCATTCATCCATAATTTCATTCCTTTTGTTCCCTTCTCTCACTAATTTCTTCTTCATCCTTTTGTGTTAGGGTTTCTTTTTGTGCCTGCGTTGTCTTTTCTGTTCTTGTATCGAAGCGCAGCATCCGTTTGTTTTCTGCAATGTAAGTGTTTTCATGTTTTCTGTCTTTTTTTTAAAAAAAAATTTATTCGCATTATTTTCATTCTCGGAGTGAGCTGCTTATGGATTGTGTGTTTTTTCGGTGTTCTTGGCTAGACAAGATAATTTCCATTTAATTTTAAGAAATGAAGGGTTTAGATATGCTTTAGGTTACGAAGACATGATTGGTTGGTTATCTCATTTGGGAAGAGTTGCTGATTAATGATCGTTTTTCCTTTAATTGTTTGTTTCCTTATAGATCGTTTAATTTTCTTCAATTTGTTTGGTCCAGAAACAAGTAGAGCTGTAAAAGGCCCTCAACTTTGATTTTTTTATTCATAATCTACGTTTTAATGTACTTGAATCTTTGTTTAAGAAGTGGATGTGGGCTGTGGGGATCAAGTGGATCAAAGACTGAAAGCAGGACTTGGGGCATGGATGAGGGGTGGATTATACTTCTTATTTTGAACACTGTGGGGTTTCATATCTGGATCTGTTATGTTTTGCAGTTTTGAGTAGCTTAATTGAGAGCCCATAATTTATTTGCTGGTTACCTGTGTTCTACTCCGGACAGCAAAGTTTCATGTCTGAATTCAACGTGCAGATTCCATCTGCTTTTGGTAGCTTCACAAGCCCCTGTTCTTGGTTTTACTTCTTATTGTGTTGTACTGCATAAGAAGCCTTTATGTTCATTTTAAAGATAATTAATTTTGTTGCATGGTTAGACCCATTTGCTGATGCAAATGCTGAGGACTCGGGAGCCGGGGGAAAAGAGTATGTTCATGTGCGCATACAGCAACGTAACGGGAGAAAAAGTCTGACTACTGTCCAAGGATTGAAGAAGGAATTTAGTTATAACAAGATTCTTAAGGACCTGAAGAAGGAATTTTGCTGTAATGGCACAGTTGTGCAAGATCCTGAGCTAGGCCAGGTTTGTTCTCCCACCCTACATGATTTGTATGGGAGAGCTAGGCCAGCGGCTTACTCTCCCTCGCTAGCTTCCCTCCTGCCACTCTTGTGTAAATAAGGCTCTGGGAGGTTTGCTCTGCCTGTCATTTAGCTGTCAATTGGTTTCTTTCTTTACAAAGGTGTGAGATCCTACGTAAGTTGGAGAGGAGAACGAAGCATTCCTTATAAGGATGTGAAAACCTCTCCTTATGTAACGACCCAGGCTCACCGCTAGCAGATATTGTACTCTTTGGGCTTTTCCTTTCGGGCTTCCCCTCAAGGCTTTAAAACGCGTCTGCTAGGAGAAGGTCCCACACCCTTATAAAGGGTGTTTTGTTCTCCTCCCCAACCAATGTGGAACATCACAATCCATCCCCTTTGGGGCCAGCGTCCTTACTGGCACACCGCCTCATGTCTACCCCCTTTCGGGGAACAATGAGAAGGCTGGCACATCGTCCGGTGTCTGGCTTTGATACCATTTGTAATGACCCAGGCCCACCGCTAGCAGATATTATCCTCTTTGGGCTTTCCCTTCAAGGTTTTAAAACGCATCTACTAGGGTAAGGTTCCCACACCCTTATAAAGAGTGTTATGTTCTCCTCCCCGGACATCACACCTTAGCAGACGCATTTCGTGAGGCTTATGGTGATTGGTAACGAGCCAAAGTGGACAACATTTGTTAGCGGTGGGCTTGGACTGTTACAAATGGTATCAAAGTTAGACATCAGGGGGGTGAATTGTGAGATCCCACATCAGTTGGAGAGGGGAATGAAACATTCCTTATTAAGGTGTGGAAACCTCTTCCTAGCAAATGCGTTTTAAAACCGTGAGGCTGACAATGATACGTAACGGGCCAAAGCAGACAATATCTGTTAGCGTGGACTGTTACAAAAGCTGCTGGCGGGGATGTTTATGGGTTGTGGATTGGTAAAACATGAAGTAGAATTTAGAGGGGTGCTATTGGTACTTAACATACAACACGACAGGGCATAAATGCCAACCAATAACATCATTTGTAATGGTTACCCTGCAGGTTATACAACTTCAGGGAGACCAAAGAAAGAATGTGTCTACCTTCCTTGTGCAGGTAATGGTACACTGTTTATACTTCGTGGCCACTAATATTTACTCGGTTATCATTCTTGATATATACTCTTCTCTGTTTTCGGCATTGATAGGCTGGCATTGTGAAGAAGGAAAATATCAAGATTCACGGTTTTTAAAGAGAATCAAGATTGAATTCTATTACTGTTTACAGCAGCTGTAAGTGATAGTCGTGGACACAACTTAACTATTTGTAGAACGTAGGAGTGCTTGCTACAACTCTGGAGAAATGTACGTTTGCTATGCTTTGTTTATGCAGACCAAGTTATGTATTACAGGACCCTTTTAGTTAATTACATGTTCCCTGCTTTCTCATCTCAGCGCCAAGTTTAGACCTGTTTTCTCTCTCTCTCTCTCTCTCTCTCTCTCTGTATATATATGTATGTATGTATATATCTATGTATGTATATGTATGATTAATTTTGAAAAATTAAGTAAACGAGACTTGAGACTTGAATAATTTAAGATTCGATAATAAAAAAAGTTCTGAGTGGTCCATATGAACTTTGTCTGTCTATAATTTGTCCAATCACAAACACATCCCAAAAAAACCTTTCGTTATCGTTACCAATTTAGTGAATAGAAGAAAGGCAATTGACCTGAAGTCTCTTTCCCTATCTAAGAAGTTATTGAGTGAAAAGAAGAATATATGCAATCCATTCATCAATCAACAAGCTTTAAACTTCCATGTGAAAACGTTACTTTTGTGCCTTTCTTTTTTTCTTCTTTCTTCTTTTCTTAGTACCATTTTTTTTTTTTTGGGTCCATGCCTCTTATCTTTTCAACGATGTTTGAATAAACCCAATCACACCATTCGTAGATATTGCATGTTTTGATTCGTTACATATTGTCATCAGTCTCATGATTCTAAAATACCTCTATTAGAGAGAGGTTTACACACCGTTGTAAGAAATGTTTCGTTCTCTCTCCAACTGATGTGGAATCTCACACTATACATAAACAAATAATAAATGTTTTGGCTGATTTTTCTTTTTTCTTCCTTGATGTTCTAACAAGAAAACAAAGATGGTGTTGATCATTAAATATTATATAACATTGATTGAATATGTTTTTTCCTCTTATAATTATAAATTATAATTATTAGATCATATAAAATTACATGTCGCATTTATTAGACATATGATAAGCTTTGAAAATTTGCTTCCAAGTTCACATGTGATAATAAGTTCTCGAGGCTTGACTTTCAAGTTTGTTGTGTTGAGGATTATTGGGAGAGTCCCACGTTGGTTAATTTAGGGAATGATCATGAGTTATAAGTGGGGAATACTATTTCCATTGGTACGAGGCCTTTTGGGGAACCCCAAAGCAAATCCATGAGAGCTTATGCTCAAAGTGGACAATATCATACCATTGTGGAGAGTCGTGATTCCTAACCTGTTGTAAACTAAAATGGCATGAAAATGAGAAAGAAAAACCATGATTGTTTGCATGGGTTTGCTTTCATAACTTCAAACATAATCTTGATTAGGGTTTAAGTTAAGCAACCGAACAAGGCAAAAGACTCATCATCTTCTAACTCGTGAATAACAAGAGAATAATATTAAGTTACATCTCAGTTGTGGTAACTAATGGCCTTCCACTGGCCTACAAAAAATCATAAATTGGGTTTCAAAATTACTGCCAGGTAAATTAGTTATTTTGACTGAGAGGTAAGAAGAAAGAAGAGAGCAATTACCGTGGAGCCACTGATCATGGTGCTGCGATCATCAAACCTCGGATTTACATGGGATAAGGTTAAATTATGTGCTGACTTTTGTACTGTGAATGGGAGAAGTAGCCGTGTCTTCTAAGGCATCATCATCATCCTCAAAAAGCGCTTTCCCAACAGAATTGGGATCCCAAGAACAGCTCCCAGTGCTCGAACATACAGCATTTTCCGGCGAGGAATAATCCACCAAGTAATCAGTCCAACCACTCTGTTCTTGCTGTTGAGCTCCGGCGGAGGAATCTTCCAGCGGGGGATCAACACCGTCAGCGGCGGCGTTCTTCTCCATGAAAAGAAGAGAGGAGGGATAGAGATGAGAGTTTGGTGAAAAAATGGAGGAAAAAGGGTCGTCCATGATGTTGAATCGGTGGTGTGGGCCAGTGGGGAAGTTAAAACTAACTGTTCTTCCAACAGGAACAAAAATGACATAAATGCTAAGGCCAAGGGCGTTGACCTTTGTGGTTTTTAGATTAGATATTATTACTTTGACTTCTTCCCCGCTTATTCTGCCGACCACCTTCTTTTGGACTTCTAAATTTCAGCCCACTTTAACTCTGCCCTATCTTATTGGGCTACACCCAACTTTGTGTTCAACCCACATTCAAAATTGAAAGTCGGGTTTGATAACAATTTTGTTTACGACAATATACTCGCCATGATGTTATGTGGGTCTTTTCCTTTCATAGTGTTAGACATAGAGTTGGTTAGCGACTGCTAGCTTTACTAGCTAGACCCAAAGGGTGTGTGAGCCAGCTAGGTTTATTTTTTAATATTTTCTCAAGCCTATAGATTGTTTGCATGTGTATTCAATTAGAAGAGATATTGAGAATTCGAGTGTTTTAAAAATTGAGTGCAGACACGAACCACTTAAACTAGCTACTTGAATGTAAGCACGAGAGTGAGTCTTTTTGTAACAATACAAAGATTCGAGGACGAATCTTCTTGAAAAAGGAGATGAAATCTGTTGTTGTAGGCGAATTCCATTAAATGTAACTTTGCGTTACTACTACCTATAAAGTCTAACATACAGACACCAACACATCTTTTAGAATTTAGTTTAAACGTTCTATTTGCCTTTTGTGGATGAAAAGTCGTACTGAAATCGAGGCAAGTAGCTAATGCCTTGGGTAGATTTCTCTTGTTACAAATAAGCATTTGAATTCTTAATCAAATTTCGAAAGCAAAACAAGTTTTTAAAAAATCACAGGTCCATAGATTCGTATATAGTCTGAAAGTGAAGATAAGAAGTTGGTAAGGTTATATTAATAGTTTTATAGGCAATAGGGCATGGGTACCCTTTGTCTAATAATAATGAACACATTGAAAAGAGAATTGAAACAAAGACACCACAGGATTATGCTATAAACAAGTTCAACTCTTAAGAACCCTAAAATAATGCCCACAAGCTTAGCTACACAAACAATAATGATAATGGACAAAGTCAATACCCGAACCCCCACCATTAAATCTCCATCCTTCTTCTTCTTCTTCGAGGTGCGTTCTTGACTTATTCCCTCTCTGCAAATTCAATTCATTCAAACCCCATCGAGTTGAGGGTGAGGGCGAGGGCTCACTGATTCTCGCATGACAAAGAGGCTTTGATCCTCTCAACGGTACAGGCAATCAGATTGTTGACTGTTGCGACTGACCCAAGAGAAAGTTTAGCTGTCGGAACCGAGTCCACCAAAATCTGAAATGCAACTGTTAAAAGCGACCCGCCGGACCCATGTTCCGCCACGCCATTAGCGCCGCCGTCCGACGTGGTGCTTCCGTCGGGAAGAATGGCAAATCCAGACGGGAGAAGCGCGACATAATCGGGATCTCCACCGTTTAGCACCACGTTGATGGCCACAATGTCCACCGGCGCATACACCACAAACGACGCTGTTTCATCTGTGCTGCTCTCTTGTAATATCAACATGTTGCTTTGGCTTGAATTTGCACTCTAAATTTTACACCACAAAAAAAAAAAAGTTAATTAATAAAATATTTTATTTCAATATACACCATGTATAAATTTTATATAGTATTGCAATTGAAATTTCACAAAAATATTTTAAGAACACGATAGAACGATTGTTACACATGCACGGTAATTTAAAATCTAAAGTTATAAGCGGAACTTACGTTTACTCGTAGCAATGAAACACAGTTTCCCGTGTCGCGGCCGTTGGCAATGTGAGCCATTTCTTGCACAATTCCACCGTTCGAAAGAATATCCCACTGTAATATGAAGTTTAATATCGTCATTTTAAGTCTCAATTTCATCTAAAAATCCAATCAATTTCTACACGTTTATATACGATTAAAGATAATATTAAATGTAATATCCATATGGAAAAATCAACTAAAAATTCAACCCGTAGTCTTGAAGTTAACTATCTCCATTGATACGAGGTCTTTTGGAAAAGTCCAAAGTAAACCCATGAGAGCTTATGCTCAAAGTGGACAATATCATATTATTGTGGAGAGTCGTGATTCCTAACATAGAACACATACCTCATTACGAGAATTTTCATCTCTGAGAAAATCAAACACTCTTTTGGGAGGAACAGGAAGCCAAAATGAAGTGGCGGCGCTGAGGACAATGCCAGGTGGTCTGCCGGGATCGTCAATACTCTTTCTAGTCATAACTCGAACATCATCCGCTCCAGTTCCCGACAGAGTTGTCCATGTGTGTGTGGTGGACGCGCTCACTCCACCGCAAAAGCTCATCACCATTCTCTCTGCTAGCTTCAACATGCTCTTTCTTCCTTCTTGATTGGTTATCACTGATAACAATTTGACCGTAATTTATTTGATTCTGAAAATGATTATAAATATAGAATTTTAAAATCGAGAAATTACCACCAGCATCACCGGTAGGAATACTTGTAGCCATAGCGCTGGCCAACCTTTCACACTGACGATCCAACGTCGCAATCCAACGCTTAGCGCCGAACGCATGGCCAGACCTAACCAGCTGGTTGTACAAACTGTGCACCCCGCGATCATCCACCTCAACATGCTCAACCCACGTAACCTATTAAAAAACATCTAAATATATTAACTTAACATCCCAAGTGACATTAATTAAGAATAATGAAGATATAAACATAATCAATTACCTTAGAATATCCATTGGGCATGTCTTGGATTAAACAACCGGATGGCCTTCTCCTGCATCTAAGCGCCGGAGTCGGGCGTAAATTGTCCAAGGAAACGTCGACCACAGCCCAAGTTCCCTCGCCGTGCTGTTTACAGTACCGAACGAAATAGCTCTCCCGAGTCGGAACGAGTGGCGAAGGCACTTGCAATTCCGATGTCATCTGAACCAATCATAAGATGATCATAATATAAACATGTGTGTATAAGAAAGTACCTAATTTGTATTTTGGGCATGTAAATTTACCACTTGTAATGCTCCGTTGTAGTTTCCGGCAACGCCGGTTGACAAAACTTCTAATGTCATAGCTCTTGACACAATCCCACTGAATACGGTTGACCACTGATTCTGGATTTGACAATCATTTAGTAACACTAATTTGCATGTTAATTTCATGTTTAGAGTGATTAAGAAGGGATTATGAAGGGCTTAATTACCACATCCATGAGCATCTCAACGAGGCTAATATGGTTCATAATGACAACAGCAGTGGCACGAGAAGCTTCACAGCTAAACCCAGAGGGCTTAGGTCCAATTCCTCTAGGGAAGGTTCTAACGTATTCATCTTCGTTAAGTACAGCCGTGGAGCCATCGAGTGCAGTCATCCACAAGGGCTCACCCATCTGAGCCATTCGAACCAGCTCCTCCATGGCTGCAACTGCAAGCTCGATGATTATGGGCTTGTCAGCCTCCGATGGCGCGCTTATAGTCCTCAGAAGGTCCACCGCCCCGTACATGTCCCCACCACCAGCTCCGAGGCCTGAATTGTGGCCGCCATAGCTTCCAATTCCAAGTTCTAGAGGACTTGATGCCATTGGTGTGGAAAGAAGCGGGTAGCTCGATACTGGTTTTCCTACGTATTTTGCTGCTATGGCTGAGATGCGATCGATCTGTGATGCAAATTTGAGAAAAAAAAAATGGTAAGAACCAGAACTTAGAAATCACGACTCTTTCCTTTGAAATGTATTCCTTATTCATAAATTAATTATCATTCCCTAAATTAACTAATCAGAGCATTATTGGAAGTGAGTCCCACGTTACTTAATTTAGTGAAAAATCAGGACGGTTGAGGATTATTGGGAGTGAGTCTCACCTTGGTTAATTTAGTCGAAGATCATGAGTTTATAAGTGAAGAATACTATCTCCATTGGTACGAGGTCTTTTGGGGAAGCCCAAAGCAAAGCTACTAGAGTTTATACTTAAAGTGAATAATATCATATCATTGTGAAGAGTTGTGATTCTTAACATGGTATCAGAGTCATGACCCTAAACTTAGCCATGAAATAGAATCCTCAAATATCGAACAAAGAATTGTGATCCTCTAAAGTGTCGATGTATTTTGTTCGAGGGCTCCAAAGAAAGGAGTTGAGCCTCGGTCAAGGGGAAGTTATTCAAGAGCTGCATAAGCCTCAGGGGAGGCTTATAGTGTACGGTTAATTTCATGGAAGATCATATGTTTACAAGTGAGGAGTATGAGGCCTTTTGGAGAAGTCCAAAGCAAATCCGCTAGAGCTTATGCTCAAAGTAGATAATATCATATCATTGTTGAGAATCGTGATTCCTAACGAGACTCACACCCAACAATCCTAACATAGAACTACAAAAACCCTAAAGACGAGGTACCTCTTCTCTCAAGCGGGCGTTTTCAAGCCTGAGATGATGTTCGTCAAAGGACATCTCTCCAATGGCGGTGGGGCCTCCACAATTAGGACACGTAGCATTACCGAGGGCTTCTCTGTACCTCATATTATCAGCTCGAAGCTTCTCATTTTCTGTTCGAAGCTGGGTGTTCTCATGTCGCTCATGATGGGTCTGAACACAATTTAACAAAGATTTATATGAATTGAAAAAAACACCATTTTTTTAAAAAAAGATTTTGTGTACCTTCATCTGAGTTCTCTTGTTTTGGAACCAAAACTTGACTTGCAACGGCTCCAAACCCAACTCCCTACTCAGCTCCTTCCTCTGCTTATCATCTGGGTGAGGACATTCCTTGAAGAACCTAATTTAAGTTACAAAACCCACATAAATTTCAACAATTTTGTATATAAATTAATAAGCCATTGAATTATTAAAATGAAGTAGTAGTTTATAAAATTAAAATTAAAAAAAAAAAAAAAAAAAATTGGGTTACGCCTCCATTTGTTGGATCTGGTTCTGAGTATGGCGGTGGTAACGCTTCTTTTTGGGTCGTTGATGGTCAAGGTCATCACCAGAACCCACCTCCTGGTTCTCGCTGCTTGATTTTGTTGCACTCTCAAACTCCTCTCCTTCTCTCATCCTCCCAAAATCGCTCTCTGAAAACTCCACTCCCTCTACCTGCCCTCCTCCCTCCATTATACTCCCCTGCAATTCAGAACCCAATATTCATTAACAGATTCCACTCCAAGGCCTAAACCCAATTAAACACTGACCTGACCAAGAAGAAGACTCGCCGGAGACCCAAAAATCCCAACACTTCCATTCCTTCCGATCATCGGCGCCGTGTTTCTCGCTGGAATCATCATTCCGGCTGGCATTTTTTAGCTCGCTTTCTTCAATACCCAAATCACCAAAATGGGAATTCACGAAACAAAACGAGAAAAAGGGGTTTTTTTTTTTTGGTTAATTTTGAGAGATATGGAGTTGGAGGAGGGAGTGGACTGTTGATGCCCAGGAAAATAGAAGGACAAAGTGGGTGCGGAGAGGAAGAAAAGTGGGGGAAAGAGGAGTAATTGCAGAGCGTATTGAGAGGGTGGGTTTGCATTTAATGGTGGCTGAAACAGACGTAATTGCTCCACACGCATTATGAGAGAAATCAACAACATATTTTTAAATTAAATTATATTTCCTTGTGCCCTAGGTGGTGTAGAAGAGCTTTAGTGCAATGAATGACGGCTACCAAACAACGCTCTACCAATATTTTATTTTTATTTTATTTTATTTTCATGAATATTCTTTGGAAACTTTTAACATTCCAATTTCTACCCATTTATTGTCTTAAAAAGTCTCCCCAAACAACCTCCTACCTTTTCCAACTACTCCTTCTCCAATCATATATTTTCTTTAATTTAAATATCATAACCTAAAAATAATATGCAATGTTTATCGCAAACCCATTTAAGGAAAATAAATGGGAGTGAAAATGTTCTGTCACATATACACATTTACACATATAAGGGAGTTTATTTGACATTCCATTTATTTCATAAGATACCATAAATTATGAGCATAATTATTTATAATATGAATCAATAACTACACCCTAATCTTTATAAATCATTGCAATAAATGAAAGGAAGCATTCCCAATCTTTAATAAAGTTTTGGGTATCATCATTATCAAACTATATCATAAAACCAAATGGGTTGTTTTTTTGTTTTTGTTTTTTTTAAGGTTATATAACTTAGATTTAATGAAGCCATGTTTGAAATATTGGAGTTTTCTTGGGGTAATTGGTTAATGGAATATGATTTATAATATAGACTATAATAATGTGTAAGAGATGAATCAATGAATTCTTGAAAAAGATGGTTTGTCATTTCCTAATTTAAGAGAGCTAAATTGAGGATCAAATCCATCATTAATACATACTAAAAATTAATGATATACATTCAATAATAACGTAATTTTTGTGAATTGATATGTAATGTTCATCAATATAAGTATTGCTTACCTTTATTCTATTAAATGAAATGTTAGTAACATCTCAATAAAGTTCAAACACGTGCATATATATGTGTTTTTTTTAACAATAAACCCCAGTTCAATATATTCTAGGGGAACGAACCATTTCTTATAAGGATGTGGGGAGACGTATTTTTAAATTGTGCGGTTGACTGTAATACATAACGGGCAAAAGCATACAAAATCTGCTAGCGGTGAGCTTGGACTATTACACTTATATACTCGTGATCTTCCTCTTATCCAGTTAATATGGTGTTTTGGTTGCACTTCGAACAATCTTCTACTCAAACAAAGTGTCACCGAGCCTCCTCTCATCTAGATCAATAACTTCTCTTTGTTTAACACCCAATTATTTTTTTTTTTATATGAATAACTTACGAACATGACTTGTAGATGACATTCATGTTTTTTATTTTATTTTATTTTTTTTGTCGGAATGGAAGTTTTATAAGAGACAAAAATCCAATTATAAGGTTAAGATTGTAATGTTTGTTCTAAAATATATATATATGTTGTCATAGAAGAGTTTGGGATTTTCTTTTTTGGGGGAAACTAATAAAAATGTAAAGAAATTAAATTTTGAGAATAAATGTTTATGGGACCATGCAAGTTGACTTGAAATTGCTTAAATGTAGAAGGAAAATTATATATATATATAAATAATTGTTGAATTTTGGTGTAAAAATATCAAATCAAGAAGAGTATAGAATATTGAGGAGGATAGCTCATTTGAGCTTTCTGATTTGACAAATGGGACATAGTACCCTTCAATCACGCGACCTTATTCAACATTAAATTAAATTAAATTACTTTAATAACTTTATCATCAAATTCATCCATATGAATATGCACAAACGGTCGATAATTATTGGGAGTGAGTCCGACATTGATTAATTTAGTGGAAGGGGAGTAAGTCCCACATTGATTAATTTAGTAGAAAATCATGAGTTTAAGTGAGGAATACTATCTCCATTGGTATGAGGTATTTTGGGGAAGCTCAAAGCAAAGATATGAGAGCATATACTCAAAATGGACAATATCATATTATTGTGGAGATCCGTGATTCTTAACATGGTTCAGAATTTCTGAATATTTGATATTTGAGTTTTAATTATTAATATAATAGTGAATAAAAAGGATTTTTTAAAATAAAATTTAACTTAATTCCTGCTTTTGGGTTTAACTAAAAAAGCATCCAACATAAACATGACAACTCTAACTATAAAGCTAAAAGAGAGGCTTGAACTTCAATAATGGAAAAAGGAGCCGACACGACAAAATGGGAAGTGAATTATGCATGCAAAAAAAAAAAAAAAAAAAAAAAAAAA